AATGTATGTTGGCTTGGATTGTCAACTGATGTTTGCTGTGTTTCTCAACTTAAAAAGTACTAAGATGACATAAAATGATGTGTCAAACTTTCTCCTAGTCTTTGAATATAACAAAAAGGTTGACAATATCAATGACCTTAAATGGCAGAATTGTGTATTTTTGTCAAATGGATGCAATTTTAAGTTTCAATTTAATTTACGCCATACATATAAATTTGTGCTGGAGTGAGAAGTAAGGGTGAAGGGTGAAAGTGCACAGATGAAACTTTTGATAGACATTGAGTGATTGTAATCGAACATTGTCACCAATATGGCGACATCTTTTTGTGCGTCTTTTTTTAAAGCGCACAGCGACATCTTTTTGTGCGTCTTTTTTTAAAGCGCACAGTATTCATAGAGAGCTGCTCAATGAATCGTATCACTTCTTCTTTCCTCCGTTCATATTTCATTTTTGGAAAATTAAAAAACAAAAATTTGTGATTTTGACTAGCGATGATGTGATCTCTAATTGCGCATACCTTTGGCACATCATTTCTTTCATTTTTCTTCATTGGTGAATTATTTGGAAAATGTTAAGTAGTAAGAATCAATTGAGATTTCATTCATTCATTCAATTCAACTATGAATTATTCTATAAAAAATCTTTCGAACTTCATATAATGCATAGAAAATTTTTGAAATTTGATATTTTCGTCGCAGTAACTTTTTCTTTTTCGGGAAAGTTTCAATTTTCTAATCAATTAACTTTCAAATTTGTAATCAATTAACTTTAAATTCTCCTTACGATATTTTACAGTACTTCTGATAATGTTCTGGGAGCGCAAATTTTGATAAAATTACCGAATAAAATGTTATACTTTCGTTAATTGGTATATTGTGCAAAAGTAAGTTTGAACAATCGATATAGGAGTGATGTCATTTTTTGTCACATGCTTATTATTGTCTATTGAACTTTGTCACTTCCATATGCCGTTGAAACTTTCAACTTTGATTGTATACAATTGAAATCGGGAAAAAAACATTTCTATTTATCTTTTCCTCTTTCTTTCTTTTTCTCTCTCTCTCGATTCATTTTTTGATATTTAAATTAATGTCACATTCTTTCATTGCTGCTTTAATGTCAAATAGATTCGAAAAGAGGATTAAACATTATATTTGTTCCTTCAATTCATTTATTTTAAACTAATTAGTTCTCTCGCAACCATTAATACTTCGTTCTATCCATCACAATTTTATTCCTCAATGATATTTGTAAAATCTCTCATTAAAAATTTAATTCTAATTTTTGAAAGATTCTACTTTTCTGATTTTTATTCTTTAATTCTAATTTTGAAAAATTTAATTCTCATTTTTGAAAAATTACATAGGATGCATAATGTTTTTCCCTGTAAATGATATAATATTTACAAACTGAAATATGCAAATTCATCATTTCACAATCAATCATTTTCCTTCGTTCCGGAATTCTCACAGACAACAACGGTTCTCAGTTTATAACTAATGCATTTATTAACTTTCCGTTTATTCTAAGTGATAGCTATTTCAGGAAGATATCGATGAAAAGGGAGTTAACAGAAAGTAATAACTGTCGATGTCTTTTTGGAAGGCAAACCGATTAGTTAATGGGAAAGGTAAATTCAAATTGTATGTTTTGTTAAGTTTTTTCGAGCAATTGATCAAATAAGGGTTAGATTTTTCGTGTTTTTAACCTAAGTTTGTAATATAATTTCATATACTGTTATTAAGTATTTAAATCCTATCCATTTAAGATCATCTATTTAATCTTTTTAACTTTTTTTTTGATTTTTAAGCTTATCAATGTAATCAACCTCAGAGAATTGAATTGTTTTATAATCTATTTTATTATTCATTCTACAACAACGAATAACAACCAATTTCTCCAACGACAAATTTCACAAAAGATTTTATCAAAGCAGTTTGGCTTTACTTTTGTACTTTTTACTTGATTCAATTTTCAATCTTACCTTAATCGATAACCCAAAAACTGTAGGTCAAAGGTTAAGCATTGATTGTTGTTTGAGCTTAACTTCAAGAAAACTACTATCTTTAGTAATAACTGAATACTTCAACTATCCAACGATAATCTGAAAGATCATAGAATTACTTGTACATTTAGTATATCATAATGAATGACAATGGTGCAGTCCTTATGACACGAGTTATATTTCAGTATTAATTTCCTGACGAAGATCTTCGGTACCATTTGCGCATTTACTTTAATCTATGGACTAATGCCGCCAGCTTCTAATTTCAATCGTTTAATTATAAACTGAAAATATGTTGCGCTTCAATATTATTCAATCTTTCAATTAACCTTTTTTTTTTGTTGTGAAATTGAGATCTTTTTGTGAAATTCTCTCAATGAAATTTCATAATGACACCTTCAATGTCAATGTCCTTCTTTCCCTCAATGTCACTCTAATTATAATTAGTGTTATCGATGTCGCAATGAAATATTCATATTAAGCCAATCATGTTATAACATATCAGTCAATTATTCATAATTAAATTATAATTTTTATTCCTTTCTCCATAACTTATTCACATCTATCGTTGTGAGAATATGAAAATATGCAAAATGTCTCCTCAAATATAGTCGAGATTTCTCAGAATGATTAGCAAATTTGATAGGCTATAAGTTAGTTTGATCGAAGAAGATAATTTCATTTAAATGAAGTATTTACTATTAATTGTGATAATTACTTTAATTTTGAAAATCAACTTAATTAGCTTATGGAAAAGCAATTCTGACAATCTAGAAAAGTGATAAACTGATAGTCTAATCATTTCGTGAAGTGATTTGATTTGATTTTTCAACTCATCCGACAATTTCTCATCCTTCTAAATATCTGAAACAATTTTTGAATGTTACATAAAATTTTCCCACTAATTTCAATGATTAACTTGAAAAGTTTCATATGAATTAAGCAGTTAGCAAGCATAGATTTACCTTATGACTTTGTATTTAATATAAATTATTAATTAAAGTTAATTACAGTTGTGTAATAGCTGTAAAGAGAATGATTTAACATGGAACTAACAAGCATTACTGTTTCATCATGTCAACACGATCGACAACAGCAACAACAAACTTCGTTAACTCAGTCCAATTTACATCAGTGGGAAAGTATGAATGATAATTGCTCGGAAAAACAGTAAATTTCGACTTTTTAATCTTCTGACTTATTTGCGCTTGTAGTTGAACAATTTGCACTTGCAGTTGAATACTTCACGTTTGCACTTGAGTATTTTGTTCAACTTGCACTTGAATGGTTTGCACTTGCAGTTGAATAGTTCGCGCTTGTATTTGAATAGTTTGCAAGTAAAGCTTTTGCATTTCCTTCCTTGCATTATTATTATTATTATATTCTGAGCATTAATTTTCATTTTTAATGCTAATAATATTTTTTTAAATTTCATTTTTAGGCAACAATGGATAACTGAGCAACCTTCCACGTCATTATCAAACATATCAGTGTCACCAACGACATTGATATCTAATAGCACAATTGATAGTAACAACTGTGAACATTACGGAAATGATAATTGTAGCCAGCCGAAAAATGTCCGAGAGATTCGTGAAGAACGAGAGAAATTTGTTCGATTTGTGTATTTTGGACAAGCGCTTTTGGTCATTATTGTTGCCCTGGTATGGATCGCTTTCATTATTTTAGAACGTGATCCTAAGATGATTATCGGGAACATTACTACTACCCAAAATGGGTTCATTCCTACCTCTGATATCAATCAGTGACACTATCTTAAGCAATTCATTTTCAGAAGTTTCACTAGTGATAAGTAAAAATTTTACACTTGCACGTTGTTTCAATAGTGATTTTTCATAATTATCATATGTTTCATTAATTTATTCAATAAAATCATCCGATATTCTTGCAAGAGGGAAAGCATTGTGTATTTCAGTATTGTTCATGTATCACTGATATAACTCCTCATTAAGAATTTCCCAGATGGTATAGCAAGACATTTGAACTCCCATATCATGGAAACAAAATTTATTCCTATTCACTTCAAAAATATTCCGTCATCATCAGCAACATCTTTCAGAAGCAACAATTTTATTTAATACAAAGTACTATCAGCAAATGGACAGGGAATGAATATCGCGGTAACACGGGTATAAGAGACTTCTTCAAATATCTTCAAAAAAATGTAACTTTCTCATCGGAAAAAAAAAGAATCTCAGTTTTTCATCCTGGTTGTATCGGTTGTGATGGAGATTGCCGGACTGATTGGGATCTTCCGGACTGCTTGGGATCTTCCGTCGAAACAACACTGGCAGAAACAGTACTCTTCTCTCCCACACTTTCTGATTCCTCTACTTCCGAATTCTGTTTTCCCTTCCTTTTTGTATCACCTAATCCTTTTCTTATTGAAATATTTTGTGTGAGAGCTTCTTGTGATGCTTTGTTAGATTTCAATGCATTTCCTTCTTTCATTTGTTTTCTGGCTTCCTTGGTGGTTGATTCTGTTAATGTCTTTGATGATTGTTTATCATTTCCATCTGATAATACAGTCAACTGCGTAAAATCCACCGATGATTCCGGCGTTTTATCATCAGTCAATTTCTCACTTCCAACAATCTTAATAAAATACAGTTCATTTATATGGATTTCATTTTTTGCGATCACTTCCTTACCTATATATTTGTCAGCTCATGTAAATATCAATAAAATAATTGAAGTGAAGCGCTATGTAACATGCACAACAACCAAATGAATGTAATGAACTGGCAAACTTCTTTGAACTCTTCAACTGTTTAAAAAAAAGAAAAAAGTGGCCGAAAACGGGAAGGAAATAAATTTGGAAGTTTCTGAAAACAAAAATTCTGCTCGGAAAGAAGTAAACTAAACTATTCAATTGTGACTCTGTTGATTCTTAAAATGCTTTTATTATATTCGAAGATTCAAATGAAACATTACCAGAGATTTTCCGACAACAGTTTTTGCTTCATGGAGTGTTTTTGGAAGACATTTGGACGGCAATAAATTCTTCGAGCCACTTATCCTAAAACCATTTCACTTATTTATCACTAACTGCATAACTGATTCAATCTTCAGAAAATCATTGTAACTAATATGTTGTCAAGTAATGAAGATTTTCTGGTAACTGATTTGAAAAAGCGACCTAATGAAGGTGGTTAATATACTTTCATGTATTGAAATCACAGGAAACATGTAAGATTTTTGGCCTCTTTTTTCAACAATCAGGTGAAATAATATCTAGATGTTAACAAAATTATTTCTTATTTCAACCATAGTTACCATCAAACCTCACATTGATCCTAATTTTGATTTCCAGGGAATTCCGAAACTTATTTTTTTGGGAAAGATTAATAATGGCATTTTCTACATTATTGTAAATTATGCCTACCCCGATTGTGTCCGTTCAGGAACCATAAATAGAGTTTTAGCATGGTGTTTGACGGTAGTTTTGGGTGAATTTTCGCCACTTCCTTCACTTTTCGGCAAATCATTGTGAAAACTTAAACGTACAGAATGCTCAACAATTGCTTTCTTTGGTTGGCTGGGTGCTGCAGCATTTGTATTTAGTTACGTGAAATAAGATATATTACATGCCCTAAATATCACGTCAGAACTATGCATCTCGACAATTAACACAATTTCTCATAAATTTATTCATGGTCAATTTTCTGGCCCTCGAGCTTTACTTTTTAGATTTTGGAGGCATTCATCAAACACTATACAGAACTGCAATAAAAAGTACCATCTTTTGTGACTGAAAGTTTTTTCGCTTTTAAACAGTTTGCTGAGCCGTATGTGATGAGCAATAATGTGCCGATAGTTAAATACAATACATTTATGAAACAAATCTGTAACGGTATCGGGCTTGGATGACAACCGGTTAGCGGGACTTTTCATTACTAATCTCAGTAATGAGACAGAAGACTTACTATAAGAAGCTCCAGCTCATAATGTTAACCACTAAATCATTTTGTATTTACCTCTGAAAGTCAGACTATCAGTACTACTTTTAATGTTTAGTCTTAGTTGAAAGCGATGGTTGACAATTATTGCTTTTGATAATACAGAACGCAACGATATCAACCAACAGTAAAGCAGAGAGTTCACTTCTAATTTTGTGAGAAAATGACAAGTGAACAAATTAGATGAATAATTATGCTGCTGGTACAGTACCTGAGTGGATAATATTGGCCAGAATGACAAGATCATTAGTGCATGAGCTTGTCCCGGACAGAACCGCACGTTTTTGTGGAGAATTATAGAAATGAGTCATTGTGCATTATTTCAACCTATTAAAACTAGCTTATAGAAATATATTTGCACTAGGATTTTATCTCAAAAATTCTCGATGTGAAACACAGCTTGGCATGAATAACTCTCCCAATTCAAAGAGGAGGTCAAATGTCAGATCAAGCTAATCTTGCGTAGAATCTCAGTGGTAAACGAGAAGTCGCACAAAAAACTTTACCAAAACTTTATCACGACGAAACAACGTCATACTGTCCCCTTAACAAGCATTAACGAATTTTGCTATTTATCAAGGTCCGTGACAAACTCTAACGGACCTTCGTGTGGATCGTTAAAGTTCGTGTAAGACAAATTTTTGTGTCTTATTACTGATCTGTGAAGTGTAGTTTATGCGATGCAGATTGTATGGCGAGAGGGATTGAGGGGTCATTGTAAGTAAGAATTTGGCGAGGGAGTTATATTAGAGGGTCAAAGATGAGTGATAGTTTTGGTGATATGAGAGAAACGAGAGAACGCACTTTACTGAAGAGAAATAAAGATTGATAAGACTTTTGAACTGTGCGGTAAAGCTTGCAAATGATGGAATATTAGATATAAACGTGTAAAGCTGATTGGCGTAATTAACGAACTAATTAGAAGAGCAGAAGATTGAGAGCTATATCATCATTTATGGATAAGGTAGGACTTTTGAGAGGATAGAATAAATGTGTAATACCTGTTTTTTGCTAATAATTATGGAGGATTTAGGACTGTTGTTTACATATGATCTTTAAATGAGTAAATTACCCTATCATAAAGTAGTGTTTGGGTTGTAACAATATGACTAATGGATAGCATTGTTCCGTTACCATAACATATATACTATCGAGATGCGTAGATATATTTTGTTGCAAGTACCATCTACTTACCTATTCTTTAGATAAGTGTCCTTTATGGCCGGATTCTCTGAAGCGGCAATGTCGAGGCGGCTTCAGACGTTGAATACGACGCAGCAGTCGGTGCAGATGATGTCCATGTGGCTGCTGCATCATCAGAAGAGCCATGCTGAAACAATCGTCAAAGTATGGCTTCAGGTAATTACCCTTACCTGTTTGCGGATGCATTGTGACGATTGGTTGGTATTGCTGTATGAGAAGATCACATTCCTTCCAGCAAGTTTCCGAGTTACTTCCTTTTAAGGATATGCTCATCGATTAATTTAATTTAAAATTGTATCATTTCTGTTAGTTTTGAATTCCAATGTATGCTTTTCAAGATCTGTAGATATTATGTAGGGCGATTACATTCATTTTATGGATTTTGCATTCTTTCGCATTTCCGTGTTTGTTAATTACCTTACTCATTGTTGTGGGGAACGAAAAAAAATTCTTCAGTATTAAAACGTGAACCTTGGAATGTGGAGATGGAATAAGGGGATTAGAACTTGAAGCTATGTTTATTCTTCATTAAACGATGGCGGAAACAACTGATGCAGCTTTATGCAGAAGGGAAGCTCTTGGTTAAAAGCATTCTCTATTATCATGTTCAGGAAATCAAAAAGGAAACGAAACCGGTTCGTTTAATCAATCTGCTCTACCTTGCCAACGATGTTATACAAAACAGTCGAAAGCACTGCCCGCATTTTATGGGAATGTTTTATGAAAATTTAGAACCAGCCTTTAGGTATGTTCCTTGTAGGTTTCGAGCCTTCAATTGCTTTTAAATCGCTGTGGCGTTTATTTGATGGGGATATAGTAATTGAATTGGCAAGTGTTAATTGAGTCCTCACAATTTCTTTTCTGATTATTTGAGTGAACAATTTTAAATTTACATTCTAAATACACTGATGAAATAATATTTCAGTGGATTGCATTTTAGTTCTTGCGTTTTGTCTTTGTCTTATTCACCTGACGAAATTTCCTTGCAGACATGTGAGTGTCCATGCAGATGCTGATGCAGTAGTAGCAATGAAAAAAATTTTGCGAGTTTTTCGTGAACGCCAAATATATTCGGATGTAAAGGTGGATCGATTAACGAATGCCGTAACGTCATCGCTGACTGGAATAAGACTTGTTGAGTTTAATATCGAATTAGGTGGAACAGTTTTAAGTACTGAAAGTATCCAAAAGTCACGTCAAACACCGTCCACACCACCGAACCCTGGGAAAGCAGTGGATTCACCACATTTATCAACTCCCACTGTTGATGCGGATTCTCCGGAACCGAAAAAGGTCAGTTTACTTTTTTAAATATATGACACTTCATCCGTTAACTCTTACGCTGATTTAGTTTTCCTTTGACAAATACTGAGTGAACTTAAAACTCCTTAGTAGATCTCCGTTCTTGCAGAGTAAAATGGATAGTGAGAATTTTGACGTCAAAGTTATGACTCGAGTAACAGAAGACGTAATAGCATTGTTGAAAAAGTTGGAAGACCCACCATCAGCTGATGCCGAAACACGGTAGAAATTGATCTTACATTTTCATACTTTCTTAATGGCTTATTTATAAGTCTGATAACTGAGTTTACTTGTCTAGTTTTTTTTCCTTTTCGTAGGATGTTTCTTTTTTCTTTTTGCTGCGAGACCATTGCGTTGTATTTCGGCTACATTACGAAATAGTTCAAGGGCTGTCAGAATTTTTTTGCTTGCAGATCAATCTTGAACATTCATTTACATATTTTAAACATTTTTTTAGCCAATTGATAGCCTCATTTCCGGAGACGATAGCAAATCCTGCTCTTTTAAAACCTATCAAAAATGAATCTCAGGCGACGGAATTATTAAAGAAAATCAAGGAGGCTGAACCTGTAGTTAAAGAATATTGCAAAAGGTGATTTTTTTTTTCTAATATTCGATGTAATCAGTTTGTAGTTTTCAAATCAGGCAGTAAATTTAATCAGTGACAAATTTTTATCATATATGCGTGTAGGCTAGCGACGGAAATGGAAGATAGGCGGTCTTTGCAACAATTGCTTCCTGAATATTTTGGTTTCTTGAAGGCCAGTGCAGTAAGAAATGACGAAATGTTACGCTCTGTACGGGAAAAAGTAGAAAAATTGGAGGAAGAAAAGACATCGGTTTGTTGTTATTACTTTTGATTAAGTAGAAATTTATATTTAATTTTATAACTGAGTAAATATAACAATTGTCCTTAACAATAAAAGGCATATCAGGATCACAGCACAGCGTCTATGATACTAACCTGAAGCAAAAATTGTTAGTAATCTTAGTCTTAGCTCGTCCCTTTTAAAACCAGAACATCTTCAGTTCAATTTTTTTTTTACGATGACTAAACAGCAGTAATTCATTTCGACTATCGAAAATGATGTAAATATAAATTTTTTTTTTTGTATGACAAGTAGTGGAAATGTTTTCAGGTAAAAGAGCACTTTGACTCTTTGCCTGACTTAGCTGATTTGCCTGCCAATGCGTTACCTCCGCTTCCTTCCTTAGGTGAATTGTTCAAAAGCGGTAAAAATGAAAACGAAGAAGATATGGAAGTCGAAAAGCGTGAAGGATAAATTCTTCAGCTTTATGGCGTAATTTGTACTTGTTCTCATTGTTATTTCTTGCAATTCGGATACTATATTTAGTTAATACTTGTCAAAATGTAAATTTTATTCTCTGTGCGGGAAAAAATATATGCGAAGTGTGAAGCCACAGCATAATCTCATTAGACGTCATACACTAACATTGCACTTATCGTTTCTTAGAGCAAAAGAAAATAGCTGGTTTGTATAGAGGGTGATATTCTCATTTATAACAGTGATATTACATGAAAATTGTTTCGTATTTGATCTCGAAATAAATTGCAACAATTTTCTTGGATACGAACTGTTTATTGTAGGTTTTTTGCCCTGATAACAGTTCTTCAACTTTACAAGAGATGGAAACTCGCTAAAAATAGTTATTTATCTGAATGGGAATGCAGCAGATGGCGTTGTACGCAATTTTAACAGGGAATAAACTTTCAGCTATAATCTGTAGTACCAATTTATTTTAGCCGGTGGCTGTTGAAACTATTTGATTGACATGGAATTGATGAGGAATTGTGGTCTTAGTAGGGAATATGCTGCATTCTCTCCTGCTTGCAAAGTTTTTAGAGGAAGGTTAAAACCAGAAGGTTGGGATACCACTATAGTAAAAAGTTCGTATTTGGGACAGAAGATTCTTTAGTATTTGGGGGCATCCCAGAGATGTGCTTTTTAGTTTTTGTCATAATTACTCTTATAAGATCGAGAAGTTGAGACTGTAAATGCGTCGTATGTAAATATTGGTCTTCAGATATTAGATATGGGTATTGTTGAAAAGATCCAAGAAATTGAGCATGAAATCAGCAGGACGCAGAAGAACAAGGCCACCGAATACCATTTAGGTCTTCTGAAAGCAAAACTTGCGAAGTACAGACAGCAGTTATTAGAACCAACTACAAAGGGTGGTACCACTAAGGGTGATGGCTTCGATGTGATGAAGAGTGGTGATGCTCGAGTAGCCATGGTTAGTTACTTACAGATTTCAAAGTTTTCTGTTCTTCTGATGAATTCGAGAATTTTATGTTTAGAAATTGTTCTCTTGTATTGTTCTCTGTCTTTTCGAGCTTAATAACTAATTAAAGGATCTTATCTACAGAGATAAATGATAACTTTTCCATTTCGTCGGATTTTCGGTTTACTAGAGAAGTAGTGAATCACTTGGAAAAAAAGTAACTCTAGGCATAATTTTAATTTCAGGTTGGCTTCCCTTCAGTCGGCAAATCGACATTATTGTCGTCACTTACAACAACAGAAAGTGTTGCAGCTTCGTATGAGTTTACCACACTTACGTGTATACCCGGTGTTATCGAGTATGAGGGAGCCAATATACAACTGCTTGATTTACCCGGTATCATTGAAGGAGCTGCGCAGGGTAAAGGTAAAGTGTTTTTCTATCCTTTTTTTTAATTTTCTTTTTTGAATGCTCCTACTTTTATGTAACCAAAATTCAAATAAGGAACCATTCTGAAAGAATTTAGATGGCATAAGATGAAAGGACTTTGAATGCTTCACTATACTGTTAATGTTATAGGTCGAGGAAGACAAGTTATAGCAGTTGCAAGAACAGCTGATATTATTTTGATGATGTTGGATGCTGCAAAAGGTGAAATGCAGGTTAGGCATACTTTGTAGGATCGTAAATCCCTGCTATAAAAGTTTTTCATGGGAAAAATATATTGCTGGTAGTAGGGAATGTAAAGCGGCTTATACTAAATGAAGTATATCCGCACTTGAACATTTGCATTTATTAAAAGGACTCCTTAGCAATTTTCGTTACTTTTTGATGGTAACTTGTAATATATAGCTTCCCTGATGTTTCATTACTCTTTATCTTGCGCGATGGGAAGTTCTTTCTAACAATCCTGCTACTATTAGGAAGACGTTTCATTAAAAAAAAAAAAAAATAGAATGTGTTTCGTAAATTAAATGCTGGGAAATTAGCATTGTTCACAACTTTTTAAAAAAGATATTAAAACTATTGCAGAAAAATCTTCTTTCAAAAGAACTGGAATCAGTGGGCATTCGTTTAAACAAAAAGCCGCCATTAATTTATCTCAAGCAGAAGAAAATCGGAGGATTGAAGTTTACGCATACGGTTCCAATAACATATTGCAACGAAAAGCTGGTAATGACTGTATTGCACGAGTACAAAATTTTTAATGCTGACGTCGTTTTCAGGGCTGACTGCACGTAAGTTTTGACTTTCGATTTGATGTAAAATAGAAATATCAAGCGTGAGTAAAAATTGCAGCTCCAATAAACAGATTGTACATTTTCGGAATTTTCATGCCACTATTTTCTACTTATAACTTCAAAAGACTTATACCACTAACAATAACTATGTTCTTGCTTATTCGCTTAATTGATTCTTTACTGTATGCATTGATACTGATATACCTACATATCAGATTTAAAGGAGTACGGAAGCAGGAAAAAAAAATGTTTCTAAAGTTCTAAAGCTAATGAACATGATACTGACTGAACAAAGAATTAAAGACTAATAAAATGTTTCTTAGAGTGGATGAATTGATTGATGTTATACAAGGAAACCGTGTGTATATACCATGTCTTTATGTATATAACAAAATCGACCAAATAAGTATGGAGGAAGTAGACAGGTGATGAAGTTTTTTTGTTATTGTTTGAATATGGATTAAGAGCAGTTTTTGTTCGCATTTAATACTTTGATTACATAGCCTCGAAAATCGATTAAAAAAATTGCTGAAAAGAAACAAAGTCGAAGTTGTTGTGTCTCAATTCATATCCTAGTGCTTTTGTGTACAAGGAAAAAATTTTTGATATTTCAACAGGCCAATTATTATTGGGAAAAGAAAACTTATATATTCAAAGCTTTTATTATTGCTTTACAGGTTAGCTCGTCTCAGTGATTCAATTGTGATTAGTTGCGAAATGAAATTAAATATGGACTACATGGTAGAAAAAATTTGGGAATATTTGGCACTCATCAGGATATACACCAAAAAGCCTGGAAATGCACCTGACTTAGGTTGTATTCGCGAATTTCATCATAAATTGAGAAATTTTATCTTTGGTTGAAATATTCTTATCATCAGTAGATTCATGCATTCTGTTGATACAACATTTTTAAGTAAGTTGTGGAATTTCTTTTTCCTTAAAATGAATGGGTGATCTAAAGGTTTGAAAATAAATATATTTTAGGACCAAACGATGGCTTAATATTACGACGTGGAGCAACAATTGAACATGCTTGTCATGCCTTGCATCGTAGTCTTGCTGCTTCATTTCGGTATGCAATTGTTTGGGGTACCAGTGCGAAGTTTTCACCGCAGCGAGTGGGCATTCACCATAAACTTCATCACGAAGATGTAGTACAAATTGTCAAAAAGTGATTCTTTGGGAATTTTTTTTGTCAATGTAGTTTATTACTGCTTCGTTGCTTTGATTTCGTGTTTTTTTTTCCTGTTCTTGTTTCAATATTGTTCATTGTTACCGGTAAGAGGGGTAGTAATATTCATCTTCATTTAGGAGATAGTACTAAATGAAGATAGTTAAAGATAGTTTTGCTCATTCGAATTTTTTTATCAGGATAAATATTCGAAACATATTCAGAAATTTCTGCATGTAATGTATTTTTACTGAGAAAGAAGGAATAATTATTGGAAAGTTTGCATTTTTGTTGTTGATGGGTGAAGTTTGTTTTCTATGCTTGTGCTTTACCTTATTTTATCGTGCTTGCTTTTAGATTCTGAGTATGGGTTGTGGCTAATGAAAGTATGAATCCAAAACTCAAATATAATATATGATGTGCCTTGTGAAGGGAAAAATATCAAATTTAAAATATGTGGTATGCAGTTGAATTAAATGATCATTATTATCTTTGCAAACTGTGATGAAAATCTTTCATCCTAATTTCATTTTTTGCTTTAATGAAGTATCTGTATCTCCTTAGAGGGATCTATCTTAGTATGCTTGACATAGACGTTGTTTCTCTGGCCATATTTTATGATGTGCTTTAAGAAATGGATTTTTTGGATCTAGAAGTGAAGTAGTTGAAGCAGTTTATTAGGTTATCTGTCCGGTGACTGCACTTAACTCATTTTCTCACATCATTTTTAGAAGATATTTGTTACAGTGTGCTGGTCGAGTTTTTATTGCAAAGTAAGCAACCACGAATTGTATGGCTCTGTTTGGTAAAATTCGACAGTTTTTTGGAGCACAGAAGCGGTTCCCACAAACTTTGGCTCGATTTTCGGACCAATCTTCCATAAAGATCGCTCAAACGGCATATGAATATAAGCCAGAGTTACGATTAGAGAATGAAAACATAGAAACGAAGCGGTCTCGTTTACTATATCAAAGCAAGAAGCGTGGTATTTTGGAAAATGATATATTGCTGGGCGGATTTGCAGATCAAATGTTGCAGAAAATGAGCTTGCAGCAGTTAATGCGTTACGATGAAATTATTAACGGTAAACATATGGAATGGGATTTGTACTACTATCTCGCCGGAAGGAAGAACTTACCAGAAGATCTGAAAGATTGCGAAGTTTTCCAGTTGCTGCTAAATTTCGTTAAAAAGAGAACCGAAAATGTCCGTGGAACAACAAAGTGGCAAAGATAGCTATGAAAATGTCATTTTTAATTTTTTTCTACAAATATCCGTTTTTTTTCTTTTATGCTTTCCGTTATTAAATGTTGTATCATATTATCAGACTTCTCACGAGTACAAATTCCTGTCATTTCCAATCTTTTTTGAAATGATTTGTTGGTAGGTGAGGATTCCGTAACGTTAGTATTTCTACACTTTCAGTTACAACTTTACTAGTGAGCATTTTCTTCCGTATTTACTCTCACAAACAAAGCTTTTTAACTTTTTAACCAAGAAACAGTAGCATAATACAGATTTTCTGATGTACAATGTGTAAAAATATGAGATAATGGTCTATACTCTTAAGATTTACCGTTCATCAAAGAGCAATCTTTAATGAGACATTAATTAAGCTTTAATTTGCATATTTGATTTAAGTTATCAAATTGTTCTAACTTACTTGCTTAGATATGATGATATAAAAATAATCCATGATTTTAAATAAAGCTATTCATCTTTGGATCAGTGAAATTTTATTACATTCTAATAAATGAAAATATGATGTATTCATGAAATAATGATAATTTCACATCTGGATATATACTTTTTCTGATTTACTCTATTTATTTGTTCGTACGTTTATGCTTTGCGTTTTGCTGTTCATTGTATAATTTTGACCAGTCTAGTATTTAATGGTAAAATTTTAGAATGCATGTGGATAGCATTCTCATGACACTATTGACCAGTATGTTGCCTGTTTTTGGAATCCAGACAAATCCAGTTTCAATTCCCAAAGGACAGAAACATGGGAATATTGTTATTGCTGCTGTCATTTCAACACCGCTTTTGCCAGACAATGATGGTTTTGGTGTTTGCGAATTAGAAGGTTTCGATTTGAATCCAACTGGTCCACTTGTACCATGTAGTTTTCTCGACGAAAGGTTTGTCATATTTAAGTCGTAGTAGAGTACTAAGTTTACCTTTGCATCGTAGAAAACCAATTTTCCGATTCAGTGCAGTAATATTTCTGTAGAAGACATGTAAAAATGTAGCCAGAATAACACCGATGTTTCTTAGGTGGATTGATTGCGATGCACCAGTGGATGTGTCATCTATCCCTGAAGCTAATAATACAAAGGTGGATTCTTTAATATAAATTTTTTCAAAAATCTCATTTATTTAATGGTATGCATTATATATATAATTCATTACCATTATTATTTTGAGGTGGATGGTGCATGTCTTACATGGGGTGGCACACGTTACGAAAACGTGGAACGCACAAATGTTACCTGCCGAGTTTTGCCGTGCATCGAATGTCGTGGTCCACGTACTTTCATGAGGAAAGTGCCCTGCATCAAGTATGTTTCATGTTATCGAAAGATGGTTAATTAATGTACTTTTAGTTCTTATTTTTCCTTAGTTTCCCTAATAAAATTTTGAAATCCTTTCTTGCTAGCCATTTACGACGAAAACTTTAGCCCGATAATTATTGCATAATAGCGTTAATTTTGAAATTCCTTTAACCAGAACCTTTCTTCTCATCACCGATATCTGTATCTATATGCCTTTGCAGATATACGGGTCATTACTTCCTCTCAACACTATTATATTCAGTATTCCTGGGGATTCTAGCGGTAGATCGTTTTTGTCTTGGCTATTCGGCTATAGCAGTTGGTAAATTGATGACACTTGGTGGCTTGGGATTATGGTGGATTGTTGATATATTTTTGCTAATTACGGGAAGTTTGTTGCCTGCGGATGGATCTAACTGGCAACCATATTATTAAGGTTATCTTATAAACTTCCTGCTATGAAAATGTTTACACATATAATAAGGAGATGCGTTATTTTTTTGCTAACATATACTTGTTGAAATCGTCTTTTTTCTTTTTTTTTGGGTGTATTGTAATTTATCCATTTATTATCATTATTTTATTAAAAACTAAGTTAATTCCACTCATTTAATTGAAGTTCAGTTTCCGCCAAATTAGCGCGAAGTATTGAGAATGCTGTCAACGTTACGAGTCTCAAAGCACTCCGTGCTGACGGTTTTCCTTGTGATTCTGAGGATTTTTATGAACCATCCATAACTGTTACGATTTTGTAAATAAATTTGTATATATTTGATGATGTTGCCATAATTTCGTTTTGTGCATTAATTTTAAAGGGAAAAAGATTATCTAAGAAAGAAGAAACTTCTTAGGGATTCACTTCTATCATAATTCAACATTCTACTGATAGTTATACATCCAGACGTTTACTTTATAAAAACCAAAACTGAATCCCTAAGAAGTTTTGAGAAATACAGCATTCAAAAGATTAAGCCAGTCTATCTTTACAGATATTACATCGTAACAGATTTATTTTATTCATTTTGGTTTAGTACTCAATGCGTTGCGTGAAGCATCGTCAGGCATCTGTTTGTGCAGCAACTGTATCACCGAAGTTTCAAGTAGTATATTGTCACCACCAAAAGGTGACATCCAATAGTAGGAAATTTTGAATTCTTGACGATTTTTAAAACGATAGGAAGATAGAGTTGAAAATGAAGGAAGGAAGAAAGGAGGACAAAAATAGGATTGGTTCAAAATAAACGAAGAAAAATAGGGTTCATAGGGTTGATTTGTTGTGAATATAGTTGATTTTATAGATAGTGTTATGATAACCATCGATGGTTATCATAACATTATCTATAAAATACATCATCAAATGAACTTTACTTCCCTTCACTTTGCTTTATTCTTACAATGAGTATTGCTGAACTTTTTCGATTAATTTTTACTATGAACTACTCATATATACATCGAATTTCTACTATAATTTATTAAATTGAAAGGTGATATGGGATGAGATGATGTCAACTTCCATGTCACATTTACCTCTGTCTGTTCGTTCTGGGAATTAGAAACATTTTTCCTCTTTTCTTTTTTTTTTTTTGTTGATACTTTTGAGGGTAAATAGATACCCGGCAGGAATCGTTTTTGAGAAATAAAACTAATATAGAAAGTAAATATGTAGCAAAAATAGGTACGTACGTCTACTTGGGCTTAGGCCTTTTGATTTGATGGTGATTCATTCAAAATGACCAAAGATGAAAATAGTCTAAACTTCATGGAAGGTCATTACTACCTTATCTCATAAAAGAATTTCATCGGCAGAGTTTTTAAATAGTGGTGTTTTTTTGAATTTAAACTGGATTTTTAAATTTTGTACTGTCACTGGATGGGATTTAATATTCACAATGTAAAGTTCCATGATACATCCAAAGTTGTATGATAATAATTAACTATGATATATATATATATATAGTTGTTTGTACCTGTGTAC